CACACACTCGAGCGAGTGTTTAAAGAGCGAGCTCGATCTCTTCTCTTTACCGCCCACGCAAACTAGCATCAAAAGTTCGCAATGGATTTATTACAAACCCGTGACCTCGCTTTCGGACGACTCCCCGCTAGAATTCGTCATCCCGGGTCACGGAGAAGAATATTTAGATCTCACACACACGTTACTAAGTCTTCGGGTACGTGTAGAAACCGAGCCGCTACCCGGTCTCGCCACCGGATCCGCCGTCAACGTGGGCCCCGTAAATCATTTTCTTCATTCCATCTTCAATCAAATCGACGTGTATTTCAATCAAAAGCTCGTGTCGCCTCCAAACAACGCTTATGCGTACCGCGCGTACATCGAAGCGTTGTTAAATTATTCATCACCCGCAAAAACTTCCCATCTAACCTCGTGCTTATGGGATGCGGATACACCCGGTCACATGGACGATACAGTAGGAGCGGAAGGCAATACCGCTATAGCGAGACGAGCTCGTTACATACGCGGAGGGCGCGCGCTAGATCTTATAGGTCACCTCCATTGCGACGTTTTCAATCAGGACAAATTCTTAATTAATGGCGTCGAGGTGCGGTTGAGACTCGTGCGCTCGAAAGATACGTTTTGTTTCATAGAAACTAATTGCACGTCGAAAATTCGTATACTCGATGCAAGCCTAATGGTGAGAAGAGCGAAAATAAGTTTCGGAGTATTACTAGCGCATGCTAGAATGCTGAGCAAAGTTACCGCCAAGTATCCGCTTACGAGAGTTGAAATTAAAACATTCACGATTCACAGTGGGGTTGTGGGTGAATCGTTAGATAATGTAATACTGGGACAATTACCGAAACGAATAATAGTAGGTTTCGTCGATAATAAAGCGTTTAACGGTGACAGAAAATTGAATCCGTTTAATTTCCAAAATTACGGAATAAATTTCTTCTCGCTATACGTCGACGGTACACAAATACCCAGTAGACCGTTACAACCGGTTTTCTCGTCTCGCGAACCGCTTTACATCGAAGCTTATCATACGCTCTTCTCAGGGACGGGTATCCATTTTTTGAACGAGGGAAATTCTATAAGTAGAGATGATTATTCTCAGGGATATACGTTATTCGCTTTTGATCTTACACCCGATCTATCCGCTAATTGCGCCGGTCATTGGAATCTCGTGAGACACGGAAGTCTTCGGTTAGAAGTGAGATTCGAGAAGGCACTCACCGAAACAATTATTGTATCGTTTACGCCGAATTCGATAATGTCGTAGAAATCGACGCATCGCGTCAAGTTATCGTCGATTTTTCCGGTTAGCTTTTAACGCTCGTTCACCAACATGTATTCATACACAGTAATGTAATACGCGATTAGAAAATTTTCCCCCTCCTCTTCTTTGGAAATTTGATGACGCTATTCACGAAGTGGAAACTATGTAACGCGCTAGAATGAATTCAGTTTTGTACGAGACACGAACAAACGCGCACGTTTCGCTAAGAGCTTGTACCTCACCAACGAAAATCTCACAATATGGACATAGTCGTCGACATACAAGGTTTCCGCGATGAAGCCAATAAATTTATCGCGAAGGAAGTCGCCGTTGTCGCAATCGATGCTCCGATTGTCGAGCATTGGATTATGATGCCACCATACGCGTTTTGAAAATTACCCGCAAAAGCAAGACGAGAAAACAATTGGCTCTCACGAAATTATCACGGTATCGAGTGGTTTGACGGCTCAGTTAATCCTAAATATTTTACCTCGCATCTCCGCGAAATCGCAAGACACGCGCGCTGCGTTTACGTCAGAGGTAACGAAAAAGCAAACTACTTGAGGAATTTACTTTCCAGAGATATAAATAATTTGGAGGGTACCTCACCAGCATTTAAAAATCTACCGGATGAGGAGGATATCGTACAATATTGCGGTCATCACGGGATTCGAAAATTTGGAACCTTTCATTGCGCGTTATACAATGCTTATAAATTAAAATGCTGGCTAAGTGTGCAAAATAATTGCGAGAACGTTTCGACCTCTACCGAAGCTACTTGTAGTTCTGACGAAAGTTGGGAAATTACCTTCGACGATAGCGATGATAAATACGACGCCGCCGTTTCTTGCGATGTAAATGAGAATATAACTAAAATACAAATAGAGGAGAAAAATCAGCAAAACAACGAACAGCAGATTGAAAAAGAAGAAGAGAGATTTGTGATTTCTGAACCGTCATCGACGTTGACGGATAAAACAAGAACGAAACAATTTCCATCTCGACGCAAACTGACATTGAAAACCTCTCAAAACAACTCAAGATAGAAGAAGACGCATTGTCAAAAGAGGTAAAAACTGGTATTGTTCAAATAATACCGTACACTCGTTCGTATTCGGGACAAAAAAATGAACTCTCGCGAAATTCTACAAGCATTGCGTCATCTAGATGCCAGACATGTTGGAGTCTATGCAGCCGACAGAGTTCCGAGGGTGTGGACGAGGTCGACGGCTATCGTCGCTAACACCGACAATCACGATCGACCTGGAGAACATTGGATCGCCTTCTACCTCGATGAACACGGCACAGCCACTTACTTCGACAGCTACGGATTACCCCCCTTGTATCCAGGATTTCTTATCCGACTTCGACGAAACTCCATCATCCATCGTTGGAATATTCAACAATTACAAGGAATTTTTTCTAAGACTTGCGGACAATACTGCTGTGTATTTTTATATTATACTAGTATGCCCTGTCTCGGCTTTGCTCGAGATAATAATGTGATTGATCCTACGGATTAGAAGTGAATTATTCAATCGACATCTCGCGCGCCCCTTATTATACATTGTTGGTACTACGTCAGAAACCTTTACGCAAGTGCCAACAACAACTGTACCAAGTTTCAACTCAATTAGTTGAATGATGCGCGAACGCATAAAGCCCGAACACATAAACAAATTCATTTTTACATATTATATTACATTGCTCGTAGTAAACTATTCACGGAGAAAGTTAGAAGAACATCAGTCATGGGGATCACTATGCTTTTTTACATAGATGCCATTTGTAAAAAAACATGGTGACCTCCATGACTGATTTTCTACTACCGTTACTTCTTAATATAATGAAATTAATATTTACGAATGAAGACGGAAACCTTAAAGCTGGTATAAAAATCGACTGAATTGGGATTTGAAGAGGAAGGACTTTGAACACGATTGGTCAAAATTTTCGTACAGTTGATATTAAGTAGAAATCAATACAAAAGAATTAATTTTAAATTTTATTATTTTTGTTATTCAAGTTTGTAACAAATGAGTATATTACAAAGTTGTTAGTAAATAACATGTGACACTTAAACTTATAAATGAGGTAGGTAGGGCAGATAGTTTTAAATTTGTAGCAATAAAATATATTATTTTGAATTATAAATACTTTTACTTTCAATTCAATTTAGCACTAATCGGTGCACAATATTTTTGGTTAACCTGTCTTTAGCTAACACAAATAGATTCGACGGTTTTCCTACACGTGAACATGCAACATATAGTTGCCCATGAGAAAAACATGGATTTTCCAAATCTAAACCACAAATGGACATTGTTTGACCTTGAGACTTATTTATGGACATGGCAAAAGCTAAACGAATTGGAAACTGTAGCCTTCTGAAGGGTATCGTAGAATCTGACGGTATCATTGGAATACGTGGCAACAGGACCACTTCTCCTTTAAACTTTCCAGTTAAAATGGTTGCTTCAAGAATATTTCCGGTGATTTTTTTGATGACCAAACGCGTACCGTTGCATAATCGAGGTGGATTCAAATTACGCAAAAGAATGATAGGTGAACCAATCTTTAATCGAAGATTATGTGGTGGCATTCCAGGTATATCCAGTGAATTCAAAAATTCAATTGAAAATTTACACTTTCATTTTCATCAACAACAGTATCGATTGATTTAAAAGACATCAGATCGCCTGGTAACAACTGTTGTATCTGGAAGTTAATTTCGTCAACATCAACATTTTTGGCTGCCAAAATAGCCCGATCACTGAGCCAGTTATGATTCAAGTAATTACTCTGTATATCCGGGAAAATACTCTGAATCAATTCATTTTTTCCGTGAAGAACAGTGCAGAAATTGTCTGGCAGTTTAATGCATTGCGTATTTGGTTGCAGTTCTATTTTACCGTTCCCAATATCTAGTAATTGTTCGGAAAATATTTGTGCTGATGGATCATTTTGCAATTGTATGCGCATATTTATAGTCAATCGAAGTGTTTCAACACTTCGCCATAAGAATGATTGTTTTAAACATGCATTAATCTCATCCGCAAAAGTAGAGCGAGGTATAACCGGTAAGGTCTGTCGGAAATCACCAGATAATAGTAAGATAGCACCACCGAAAAGTTTATCATTGCCTTTTAAATCTTGCATAGTTCTATGCAATGCCTCGAGTGAATATTTGTGTGCCATTGTGCACTCATCCCAAATTATGAGTGAACTCTTCCGCAACACTGCAGCTATTCCACTATTCTTTTTTATGTTACATAATGCGTTTGGCTTATTATGAATGTCCAATGGCAGCTTGAATGTTGAATGTGCCGTTCGCCCACCATCTAGCAAAGTAGCCGCAATGCCAGACGATGCGACTGCCAATGCGATTTTCTGTTGTGACCGTATTTTGGCAAGAATCAACGATATTAAAAATGTCTTACCGGTTCCACCTGGTGCGTCCAAGAAAAAAAACCGCCTTGTTCAGCAGCAACACCCAGCATAATCCGATCATAAATAATTTTTTGTTCTGCTGTCAGTAATGGCTCACTGTTCACGATAATTGTTGCTAAATTACGATGGTCATATTGTTTTTCTCGTTGTAAATCGGTATTGACTAAGTCGGCGGCTGGGCGAGCAGGTGATGGCATACCATAATGATTAAGTGGTAAATTTGAAATTAAAACACATAAATCCTCGATCAACACTAACGCTTCATTATACATCTCAGGCGTATAATCTATGTTTTGGCATTGATCTGTTTGTCTAATCGGTGCAATATGTCTTCTGTCATACAATTTTTATATTTTTCCCACAAAGTGTGTGCTTGTGATGGATAACATGTCGTCAAAATAATTGCAAACAGCTGACGAATGTTATTGGGCGTTGATGTCAACGCAGCATCAGCAAGCGTTAAGTCCCAATGGTTATCGTCTTCTAGCAATTGCAGTTCACGACATGCATCTTGGTATGTATTGAATACTCGGCCGTTGACTGTTCGCAGAAATTCAAAAGACGTTGGTCCGGGAACATTCACCAATAATAAACGTAAATAGAAGCACTCACGTTGCTTTGGATTTACCGTGTAAAGTCGCCCCAATGTCTTAGCTTTGAATATGCCTGTAACGGAAGGATGTGGTTTTCCTTGTTTTCGTGGCACCCATTTTTTACCAGATTTGTTCCATGTGAAATAACGTGGAACATCAGTATATATCAATGTCTTTGCGAATTGGCCAAAAATGTCAGATCTTTGACACAATGTAAAAAACTCAGTTAGTGTCGTTTTTGGAGCCTCAAGCGCTCTTTGGAGAACATTTTCTTCAGTGAAGTATACACGTTGACCGTTTTCAAGATGTATTGCTAGATGCTGGACAGCAGGGTCTCTTTCGTGTATGGAAAAGCTAAGAATATGCCAAATAGCTTCGTTGCTGCTGATGTATCTACCCATTTGGTATCGTGTAATTTCGTCATTTTCATTTACATTTTGTACTCCAAACATGGCCAAATCACTGCCTTTATTTACATATTTACAAATGTACCTAATTGATTTTACAGAACTGCAAAGCTCGACATTGATATGAGCCTCATAAGTTTTTGAAAGTAATGGTGAGTATGGTACCACCCACCGATTATCAAATTCTACTTGATTTGTAGAATTCGGCAGTCGCATCGTGAATGTGTGGCCACCATTCTCAGTATTTCTGCGTCGATACATTGGATAACCGTCAATATCCGTGATAGTGTCATTCGTATGCGGCTTTGGGAAATTTTTCTTACATTTTCCATTTTCCATGCATGGTAATGTCATGTTGAAAGCACCGCACGGCCCGTGGTTCATGTGTTTGGTAACAATATCAAATAATTCTTGATCAATTGATCGGTCTGGAATTTCAGCTGAAATTATTTGATCAATTTCTTCTGGACGGATTTTATCTTGAAGCCAAATTAAAATGTGGGCATGAGGCAAACCTCGCTTTTGCCACTCAATCGAATACAGCCAACAACGTGTGATACCAAAAACTGAATATTTAACAATAAAATCAATTAAGGATTTCAATTTTTGTTTGAACACACGTGCAGTTATATCATGACGATGAATTACTTTTTGTCCTGGTAATAGTAAAGTTTGTATCTCTTTCCAATTCGGATTGCATGTGAATGTTATAAACAAATCTGGTCGGCCGTAATGACGTACGTAAGTCATCGCATCTTGTATGTATTCCTGCATGTTCCGTGGACTGCCGATGTAGCTTGAAGGTAAAATGAAAGCATTACCGATGTCATTGGGGTTTAAATTTCCGTCGATGTTTCCAACAACAGCATCTCGTAAGTGAATGTATTCTTCCGATCGTAATTTAGCCTGGTTGTATCGAATGAATCGCAAGCGTTTGCTTTCAACCTTAGCATACATATCAACAATGTATTGATGGAATAGCTGACGATATCGATGGATGTAGTTGTCCTGATTATGTCTAATCATCAATCGGTGTGCGTAGTAGTTCATTGAACTAACTTTTTTATCTCTTTGAGCACCTAAAAAAAAATAAGAAATAAAGTAAAATAAGAAATTAAAAATCGTACATACAGTAAGAAAATAAATAGTTAATAGTCAAATTTACCGGTATTTGGATCACACTGTTTGATGTTAAGGTGATATTCATCCTGTCCTTGCCAAAATATTAATGGATATTGCAGTGCGTCATATGAACGGTGTAGATCCGAAATCGTACTAACAGTGTTGTCTCGCCGTGTAATTTTTATAGCTCTTTTGTCAACTGGATCACCAACCATAATAACAGCAACCTCATCAAGAGTTGGAGCGTTGAATCTGCCAGCATGTTCACCTAATGGGACTTTGTCGGCTTTTATGACGATTTGATAGTTGTCATTTTGCAATCGTGGCGAAACTCTTTTAATCAATTGAATTAGTTGATTCTGATCTTCTAAAAAATTTTCCAGCAATATCACAATTGCTCTTTCCTCTGCTTGTTCAATGAAATTATACTGGCACCGAGTTGTCACACGCTCTTCACAATTGCCCATAAAATAAATTTGAAGAAATTTCGGATCATTATCAGGCATTGGCATCAATGACCCGATTTTATGGTACACCTGGCCTTGTATTTTGAATGTAGTTTCAAAATTACGTCCATCGGATGCGAGATCGCAAATTTTAGTTGCCCCAAATGACGTCATTTGGAAGCAAGAATTAAATTTGCGTATCTTACGCAAAAATAATTTTGAATCATCTGAATCGCCAGCAAGAAGGGATAATAAAGGTTCCGGCGGAGTAGGAAGAGATGACAGCACAACTTTTCCTGATGCGCAGCACATGCCGGGTGTTTCATTCTGAAATTTCAATGCCTGACAATATTGACATACTTTATCCATTGCACCGATAGCAATTTTTGAATGCGCAGAGTAGTTAATATTTGGTGCATATTCGAAAGCAAGACGAACAAATGATGCACGTGTTAATGAGCGGCTGGTCCGCTGCCTCTGTCGTTCTTGTGCTCGTGCTGTAGCTATGTTTTGTTCTCGTGCCGCTCTTGTTCTCGCAATAGTCTGTCGCAGACGTTCGTCACGCTGTTTTTGAGATTCTTGTGCACGACCCTCCGCTGTCCTGATGTTTTGAGCTGCATTCCTTGTTGAGATTTGTTCTGTCGACAGATGAGCTCTTTCAGCACGTTTGCGTCGTGCCTCTCTGCTCCGCGCGTTGCTGAGGTTCGATTTTTTCGGTGGCATTCGACTTTAAATAAAAATTTAAACGTTTAAATATTAAAAATAAAACTGTAAAACATGCTACTATAGCACATTGAAATAAGGAGTGCAAAATAATTTTTAATATAGGTTGAATAAAATACCTCATGACCATAAAAATACATATATCATACACAGTGTGATTTGATGCATAGCAACTATGTGATAATACTTACATGTATATCTTGTTTTGAACAATGAGGCACTAACAATTAAAAAGCAGGAATAATTTCCACGAATTTTACAGCAACTATTTCGGAGGAATAATCGGGACTGACAACACGAACTTGGTGTCGTTTTTGTCGATGTATACGTGCTTTGTTCACGAAGTCACCACGCAAAACAAAATAGGAAAGTCATTTACTTTGAAAAGTACATAGTAAATGACAATCCAGTCAACAGATATCGCCATCTGTGACAATCGTTTGGAGATAACAGATAACTGTGACTGTCATATAATAATATTTACTTTGAAAAGTACATAGTAAATGACAATCCAGTCAACAGATATCGCCATCTGTGACAACAGTGGAGATAACAGATAATTGTGACTGTCATATAATAATAAACAAATAATTTGCAATAAAATAATATTGCGACTATAAATTGAGATGTAAGCTATCCTATGTTTCAAGTTGGATCCAAGTGCACACCGTGTGCAAATTTGATTGAAATCGGTTAAGTAGTTTAGGAGTCCATCGCGGACAAACAACGTGACACGTAATTTATATATATAAAGATGTGTAACGGCTATAATCTTAATCAGTTTCTCGCTCTTTTTTCCGAAGATTGTGAATATAACGATCGTTTAATCATACACTTATTTCGTAAATTTTTACTCACAAAAAACAAGCGAATCATAACAATATATAATATGAATTTTAGTATTAATAAATAAATTTTGTTCTGTAAAAATATTTTAAATATAAATCATATTTGTACTTTTAAAACCATTGTTCAATTTTCTTACACTTCCTCTTTCCAGAAATTTCCTCAACATCCATGTTTCTGTTTACTTTCATTAAGCAGCGAGTTATTTTAAAATAAAATTTTATCTGACATCTTTTCAACAATAAGCATTCTTTCTAATCTACGATGATGCATTATTTTTTTATCGTGACACGAGTCGGAATGCTCGCCAGTACAAATATTTGCGTGTTCTTTTTTTATTACCCTACGGCATTGTCAGTTACTACCTGCCACCGATCCCCGGTCGACCGCATGACGCTTTTCTTGGTCAAAATGTTTTTACCCCACCCCGTCTAATATCGACCATTTGATTCGACGAGCTATCCTTGCCATACGTATACCCGAACTGTTTTTAGCCCACCCCGTCCTATATCGACCATTTGATTCGACGAGCTATCCTTGCCATACGTATACCCGAACCCCCATACCGTACCCTACGCAACTTTAGCTTAAATACTTCATCTAATCCTTAGACTAGTAAGATCTCGTTTAGCTCAACATACTAGGACCCTGCTCGGAAACACGAAGGCCCCAGGTTCAAATCCAGAGGAAATCAGAAAAAATAAAAAAAATAAAAAAAATTCTCATCCCCACCTTTCGGGGCCAGACGCCATTTTTTTTTCCCCCAACACCCTCTCCCCCTACACCCACACTCGGAAAAACCAGACGCCGGTGGTGGGGGAAAGATAAGATAAGACACGGCGCCAGACGGGTCGGTGGTGGGGGTTTGTTTTGACGGGCCATAGTGCCCACTATACTACTATTAGTGTATAGAGCGGTCACATCTAAAGAAATCAAAGAATTATTGTTGTCAATAATTTTATCTTTTAAATTTGCGGAAAACGTCCAGCCATCTTTAACGTAAGATTTCGGTAACAAATTAGAACTATGTAAAATATTATGAATATATTTAGCAACATTATATACTGGACTACCTAATGAAGATACAACGATGCGTAGAGGAAATTCTTTTTTGTGAACCTTTGGCAGACCATAACAACGTGATAAATTACCATTAGTAATATTTAATGATTTATATGTGGAGTCGTCAATCAAATCGTTATCTTGCCAAGATTTCATTAAGGCGTTGGTCTTTATAGTTAATTGTTTTATAGGATTTTTTTTAATTTTTTTGTAAGTGGATTCGTCATTCAATAACGATTCCATTTTTTTCAAATAATCATTTTTACTCATTACTACGGTGATCTGACCCTTATCAGCTTTGGTGACAAAAATATTTTCATTATCACGTAGAAATTTTTTTTTTTACAGGGCGAAAAATCTTGTAAGATGTGTCTGTCAGAAGAAGAAATGTGTTTATTTTCACATAAAAACTTTTTAAGGGAATCAGCTACTGAAATTCTGGTGGTTTCTAGTAAATCACTCGGAATGTTCTTGTGGTTAATCTCTAGATTCTTTATGTTATCCAGGACAATATTAATTCGATTTTTTTTATATGCGTGATCTATTGGCAAACCAAATTTGTCACCCAAGCTTAAAAAATCAGATACCTTATCCGGAATAGTTTTACCACTAATGTTCACTAACCACTTAGAATTGTCAATGTTTTTGAACAAGTCAGAAAATGCGTTTTGTTTAGTGCACAATTTGTCAAATTTACTAATAGACTTATTTTTATTAGAGAGTTTAAATTTGAAAAGTCTCCTTTCATTTAATTTAAAAAACTCTTGAACAAGATCATGTGGCAGACATGTAAAGAGTTTCTCAACTATTGCTTTAGTGTTGCGGCGTAAGTATTTTAAATTGAAATTAGCGTCTTTTATTTCCAATTTTAGTAATTTATAACGACATTTATTAGTAATTTTTTCTATTTCGCGTTTTGTACTTCTGCTTTTAAATAGTATGTTAGTTTTCATTCAAATTCGTTCGTTCGAATTCATTTTTATTCTCTTTTAGGTTTCCAAATTGATATCTAAACATTCATTTCCCAGCGAGAAATGATTTGTCAAATCGACATCGATTCGACATTAATTTGATCGATTTGACATCAATTCGACGAAGAATCGATGTCGATTCAACCATCATTTCTCGCTGAGTTATATTTCTTCATTCAATTCTAGTTTGTGTTGGTCTTATTTTGTATGTATAAACTGCCAATAATAAGAATAACTTGTGTCTAAAAAAATAATCGATAAAACAATCGATAAAATAGAGCGGCAACATCCTCTTAAGATTAAAATATTATATAATAAATTAGTAAAAACTTAAGTTATAATGTAAATTAAATTATAATTAATATAATAAATAGGAACAATATATTAAATTTAACCTAAACTAGCCAAAGAAAATTTTTATTTTATTTCCACAACGTTTCGACCATGTTTTTGGTCCTTTTCAAGTGAGAAACTAGAATGATACAATAATTAAGATTAATAAAGATAAACATTTTGATTTAAGAGTTTAACAAGGCTCTGTAATATAAATATAAATTTAACGTATAAGACGGGCAATAAGAGCCAAATCGCGGATGACAATGCGTTATCCTAACGAAACTAAATTATTTTTCGTTAGAATTAAATACCGGTGCACAAGGCACCAAATTTTACTTGGACACGGCCAAGATTTTAAATATGAAATAATCTCATATTTGAGATTTAATTTCAATACCCCTTTAACCCCCCTACGGAAAATAAATAAATGAAGCAAGAGAAAAATATAGATCCGAAAGTCGCTGAATCGGGAATCGATTCCCTTTTAAATGTTTTAAAAGTTCTGATATAATCACATTGTTTAATAATGTCAACTAACTGCGCTTTTATTTAAAAAATATGTAAATCTTAATTTCTTGCGTTTAACGTCAAAATATTTATCTTTATTAATCTTAATTATTGTATCGTTCTAGTTTCTCACTTGAAAAGGAACAAAAGCAGATGGTCGAAACGTTGTGGAAATAAAATAAAAATTTTCTTTGGCTAGTTTGGGTCGAATTTAATATATAGTGTTCTAAGTATAATAGTCCTACCTTTCCACTAATCTATGGTAAAATATCCAATTCTTAAGCATTCGCGAGAAAAATGCGTTTAAAAAGTATTCAGCACTACTCTTATTTAAAATCGATTTCGGTTAAACTGTTTTTTTCCTATATTGTAACTTATTATGTTCTGCAAAACAAAAAATGTAACAGTGTCAAAGTTAAATAATGAACAGTTACTGACACGTTACACTCGGACAAACTACTCTAAGAATCCGAGTTTTTCATATTTGAGCAATAAACTAATAACTATTATTTAGTTTTTAACTTATAACAATTTTTGTTCAGCAAGTCATAAGCTATATCATGTGAGAAAATCAGCTAATTTAACTAAAATCTATTTCACGTAAGATTAATGGGGGATACCTTTTAAATACGTTTTTTTCGCAAATGCTTAAGAATTAAATCGTATTATTTTACAATAGATTAGTGGGAAAATAAAACTAAAATACAAATATACGTTAAATATAAAAATACGTATAAACTAAATATACGTTAGGCTCAGCGAATTGGAGGGAGCCATATCTGGTGATAATCTTTTATTTTGTTAATAAGATTTATATTGATACATTTTGATTAATATGCAACACACATACCTCTGCCAACAATAATGAATTGGTCCTGATAAGAAGGAAAGATGATTATTTAAAAGCATCTTTTCCAACAATATGTTTATTCTTTCTTTCTTATATTTTTTTTCTAATTATGCAGGATGTTCTACAACCACTATACAATATTTTACGAGCATGTTTTAAAAATAAAATGAAGTAAAAAGTTTTTATACAAAAATGTTGAGACTGCAATAGTTTTAAGCTATAAGTAATCGAAATTTACTAATGGTATCGCATAAAACTCGCGCGCTCAGGCCCGTAACTTTAAACCATATAGTACCTGGACTACGCGTTAGTAGTGGGAGCAGAGATGAGAAGAAATATAACCAACGCTTCGAAAAATCCTGTCCACGAAATTAAAGCTATTACATTGCGTCATCTGTCGAACTACATATTCGCGTGGAGCAATATCGATAAAATAATAGTACTGTATTATCCAAAACATAGATGTGAATTAATACGTAATAAAATTTATAATAAAATTAAAATCTCTGAACTCAATGCCAAATTTGGCAGCAGCTTTAACACATAAAATCAAGTCTAAAATAAAACAAATCTAAACACGGCTTATAAAGTCAAGCGCAAGGTGTAGGAGCGCAAAAAATAACATAATAACTTTACTATAAACAAGTTTATTCAGTATAAAAGTTTCGGTCCTTTTTTTGGACCATCTTCAGTATAATAGGAACATAAAGGTACAAACCACGACAAAGAAACTGTCTCATCACTTACAAACTCTCAAACGCATTACGTATAGTGGGCCTCCTAAACTGTCACCAGCCGGACAAATATCACAGAATCATGAGGTAGTAATAATATCTTCAAAGGTGACCCATACTGGCTGTAGCCAGTAAGCCTTTCCAATGGGAGACCCACTACCCACACAGACACAACACACATACTCACACGCTACCTAACCCGGACGCGTCCGGCGCACAAATAAGGCACAAAAACAAGATGTGCGATTATTTATAGGTCGTCGAATAACGGTTCATTACCCTTTAGGAGGGGATCAAACCTAATTATATAAAAGCCTCACTAACAACAAGTTTATAGCCTTAATTTATGACTCTTTAAGAGAATTTGTATAATAACCGTAACCAAATACTACACAGAAATCCGTTATTACGGACCACAGACTTGACGGCCATGAATTTGATTAGGATAATGTTGAAATCTTGGATGAAGAGCTTTTCTTGAAGAAGAGACTTGTTTCAGAAATGTTGTTTATTAGGCGTCAGAAAAATGGTTTAAATCGTCAGGAAAACACTGAGTGCCTACATCAGGCTTATATATCTATTGTTACAAATATGCCTCAAATTCATTGAAATTCTGACCTTGGTTACGGTTATTACAAATTCTCTTAAAGAGTCATAAATCAAGGCTATAAACTTGTTAGTGAGGCTTTTATATAATTAGGTTTGATCCTCTCCTTAAGGGCAATGAACCGTTGTTCGACGAACTATGTGATGAGACAGTTTCTTTGTCATGGTTTGTACCTTTATGTTTCTATTATACTGAAGATGGTCCAAAGAAAGGACCGAAACGTTTATACTGAATAAACTTGTTTATAGTACAAGTTATTGTGTTATTTTTTGCGCTCCTATACACCTTGCGCATGGCTCTATAAGCCGTGTTTGTATTTGTTTTGTTTTAATTAAAGAGCCTTAATAGCTAAGATTCAAGTCTAAAATGTTAATAAACATATATGTCCGAATCGGAACAGTTTCAAAATTATTGACTACTAATTGCTATCGTAAGACAATATAAATTAAAATAAATGTTATTTAATGTTTATTCTGTTTAAATTTTTACTAAAAATGTGCAAAAATTTCTTCGTCGACTTTGACATAATTTCTAGCAAGAATTAATATTAATATTAATTAAAATAAATTATTAATTGATATAAAGCTCCCCTAATAAAATTAATATGAAGAAAAACAGGCTAATTAAGAGCCAGGCGTTTATTAATACGCAAAAAAAAGAAAACTTAATATTTCAAAGTTTTTTTATTTATATATTGTACGTTTCGAAATTAATTCAGATCTCAAATTCGAGATTGTTCTTCAACTTGCTTTAGCAAATAGCTAAGCAAATTACGTGCAGGTACATCCACGATAGTCTCTCACAGCGAATATCTTTTTGTCTTGTCATTTATAATAAGAGCCGTATATTATTATCATTTGTTATTAAATATAATATTTATTTTTATTTATATTGTTTTACGAAAGCAATCTTTAATATTCTATAACTTCGAAATTATTCGGATTCGAACATATATGTTTATTAACATTTTTGACTAATTTTCATATGCTAAAATAATGCTGTATCAATTTTGACACTGAGTTTAGAGACACCCTGCATATGTATATGACATACATGTATACAGGGTGTCCCAAAAGTAACGGACCACTCTAATAACTCTTCAGTATTGGAGTTTCAAGAAAAATGACCTGAATAAAAGTTGTAGGAATTTAAGTAAGCTACCTTATGATGACCTTGACTTTGATCCCTATTTTCAAAGTCATTTAAAGGTCAACTCATGTTTTTTTAAATGGAAATCCCTATTTTTTACCTCGGATTCTGAAAGAGCGGAAAATTTTATGTTTAAATATATATTCATGAAGGTCGAAATGAACTGTAGTGATTATTTGATCTGATGGGTGGGTGGGCGGATGTGGGTGGGTGCGGAATATAAACGGTTTGTGGTACAGAATTTGATTTCGAAGAAACAGAAACCTTTTCCATATGTCCGAGTTCTTCATACTCTAATAGGAATGAATTGTATTCCTTCTTTAAATCGAGATTTCGATCTAATCGTCGATTTAAAGAGGTTAGCATACTTGATACAATTGAATGTGAATCACCGATATTGATCGGTGGACCTTGTTTGAATGGGAGCCGTACTATATATCGTCCGGTTTTATCGCGAGAATGATTTTCAAAAAAGTGTTTCTCACAGCGCTCGTCGTCTGGAGAAAGCTGAATTTTCTGAGGAAGTTCCTCGACTTCTCAGAATCGTTGAATATCTCGTTCGAGAGAACAATGCATTACCTTGATTGAGCTAGATCTTGAACTTTGAGTAGTAGTTGGTCCCGATAGGACCCAGCCGAAATAAGAATTCTGCGCGATAGGCTGTCCGATCGATCCTTTGCGAACGCCGTTTCGAATTACTCTACTATATAGATCGGCCCCTATGAGTACCTCAATAGGATCGGATCCAGTTGGATCGTCATCTGCAAGATTGAGATTTCGTAAATGCTCCCACGACTTACTGAATTGTGCCCGTCGTGGAGTGTATTTCGTTAAAGAGCGCATAACAAAAGCTTGAGTGCTGAATACGGGCCCCGATTTTATGCGGGAAGTAAGTTGGATGTTAGCCGCATGTCGGCACATGCCAGCGTGAACACCCCCAACAGCTGAGATCGACGTCATTGTCCGAATGCGTCGCAATCTCAGGCCTTGAGCGAGTCTTTTTGTAATAAAAGATACTTCCAAACCCTAATCCAACAGGGCTCTGACAGTTTGAGTGCGTCCCGTCGGAGAGCTTACCTTGATTTTCGCCGTCGCGAGGAGAACAGGTAATGGCGACGCGTCGCTCGAAACCACCGAAAGAGAAATGACTTGTGATTTTTCGCTGGTCTGCACTGAATTTTCGATCGAAGTTGTCGCTTGATTCGTATTCGACGAGGAGTGTGAGTCGACATGTAACATTGTATGATGTTTCTTTTGACAAGTACGGCAAGCGAATTTACTGCGGCATTCTGTCACGGAATGATTTTTGCGTAGACAATTAAAGCAAAGTTTGTTTTGTTTTACATACTCTCGACGTTGACTCACACTTTTGTCAAGGAATTTTGGACAATGATTTAGGAAATGCTGGTTTTTACACAGCCCGCACATAGGAGTCGCCGCTACCGACGCATTAGCACTGGCTACTTTATTTTCGCGACTTGAACTTGACCCTTTGATCGGTTTGAGTTCCTCAAGTGCACTCGCGCGCGATGATAAAAATGTCAGTAATTCGTCGTACGTCGCGGGAGGAGATGCTTCGTTAAACTTTAGTTTCCAAGCGCGTCGTGTGGCTTGGTCAAGCCTTTGAGATATGCAGTGAACGAGGATGTCATCGAGAATATCGGTAGAGGATTGATTTAATCGCTTTAACGACGCGATAGCTTTTTCCACTTTATTGCGCAACGCATACAATTCGGACGATGATTCGCGTAACAAGGTTGGTAACGAGAACAAGGTAGCTACATGCATCTCGATTAATCGGCGCTTATTTTCGAAGCGCGCCCTTAACGCTGTCCACGCAATGTTGAAATTATCCGCGGTCACTGATAAACTGGCTATCGCGTTGTGAGCACATCCGGTGAGATTTGAAACGAGAAAGTGCATCCGACTAAAATCTGAGAGCTCCTTATTATTTATAATTAAAGCCGTGAAGCGATCGCGAAAGCTCTCCCATTCGTCGAAGCTCCCGTTAAAGGATGGTAATTGAATGGCTGGGAGATGCTGTAACGAAAGCGCCGCAGAATCCGCATGATTCGTTGAATAATTGATAGATTGGTTCGGACTCACAGTCGGCTCTGATTCCTCGAGGCAGTTCGTCATATAGTCTATCGCTGCTTGATAGAGATCCTCATGACTCTCCATCTTGTTGGCTTGAAAATACTCCATCTTCTCCCTCTTTGCTTCAGCGTACGCTTGGAGAATCGCTGCATGAGTTTGACGGCACTGCATCCAGGTTTCCTTGAGGGAAGTCATTCAAGAGCGAATCGTTGCGGGCGTATAATTGTTTCTTCCGATCTTCTTGAAATTCTCTAATGCCCGAGAAATGGTGTGAAAGAGCGTTTGCTGTAGAATTAATGGATCGCTCATCTTGATTGTTTAATAATTCAGTCTCAATCACTGACACTCTGCTCCTTAATCCGGCTTGAAGGACCAAAACTTTATGTTCGCACCCTTTGTCGCACACGATAATTTAGACACACCGTATCGGTGTTGACCTTGATGGTCGACGAACGAGTTATCGCTTCTCAGCGACAGGGAAAGGCGGTGATAACTCGAAGGACCAAGAATAGAAAAAGGAGAGCGTAGGTCGATTGGTACTTGACGCTTTCGCGCCGATAAGGAGGAGTGAAGTCAGTGGCTTGCAAGGCCGAGAATAAAGTTAATAGTTCTTTGTTGATTAACACACTCGGTTTAATTTTAAACAATAAACTTTGTACTCAATAGATAAACAGATATAATCGAAGACCCGGAGCAAGATCAAGAGTATAATCGGGATTGAGTTGCTCGAACGCACTCGCCTGCGACCTTACTGTTCGAGCTTCGCCGATTGTCTGAAAATATTGAAAATTCGCTCGGTGGCGCGAGGCCCGATCACACTCCGATCAGGCCCGTTCGTAGTACGGAGCAGGTGACTCGCACGAGTGTCAACCGTGATCGCGACGTGGTTGTGCTTAGTATTATTTGCTCGTACGTATACAGGATTTAACTTGTGCCTATATTAAGAATAAACAAAACAAAACTTTTTTTTTTTTTAACAGAATCGTCGAACATGTCGATACGGTTTGCTCGTGCGCGAACAATAATAATAATTCATTCGTAAATTGAAATTATATTGCAAAGTAAAAATAATTCGATGAATTAAAATTATGTCGAGACATAATAAAATTCGGAATTATTATTATGTCGCGATATAATTTTAATTCACGGAATTATTATTACGTATTAACATAAATTTATTTCATTGATATTTTATATAAGACAATTAATTATTAAAACTTTTATATTAAATTGAATATTTTTTATGTTATTATATTAAAATGGCGTGCCATACTATCGTGTAATATGCATCGATTTTTTTGCATTCCCGGGAAAAAATAGTTTCGATCTAAATAAATCCAATGATATCAAATTAAATCTCTTTTGATATAACAAAATGTAAAACTTAAAATTTACGTAGATATAAGCATATTTATTAAAATGTATTTACATCAAAATATATCTATCACTGCAGATCTATTTAGATCTAAAAAGATTTACGCCAGTAGATCGAGTTGACTTTACATACGTACATTAAATTTAAATTGATCTTCGGAGATCTACAAAGATTTAGATAGATTTATCAATGAAGATTTACATACATGTTTTAAATCTACTTAAATCTAAGTAGATTATATGTTTTCAGTTTTTGATATCTAACGAGATTTAATTACATCGAATCTATTTTTTCTGGGTCTATGTTAAATTTTTACGAAACGCAGTGTAAAAAATTATATAACATGACATTAACAATAAGTATTGAATTATATGATAAATAATAGAACGTATGTTTTCATTATTTATCGTGTAATTTTCCGCATTATTATAGCAATTTTTCGGTTTTTTTCACGGTGTACATTGCCGAATATGATATCAACACAACTACAATCATTTTAAAATTGTAGAAAATAGTTTATCCAAATCCTTTCTAACGAGAAAAAGAAAGAGAATGATAGAGATAGTTCGACGTAAAGCTCCAGATCATACGTACATACACCGTTATTGTCTATTATCAAGCGCTCCTCATATCGCTTCGCCACGCGCTAAGCAACGGCGTAACTATGGGCTGTCTCTTCTCGACGCGCGCTTATAGGGACCGTGCACGAACTATAGAGAGCATCACTATTGCCGATGTGCGCGCTTCCATGCGACTACATCTAAAAACATTATGTAAATTATATATAATAAATATTATATTAACACTAAAATATTAAATTTCGTTCGCCAGGAATGAAATACTAAGGTAGTAGATATTAAACTGACTACACTGGCTGTCTATTAGATTTGTTAAACTATATTTATTGACGTTTCGACCATACGGGCTGTGGTCCTTTTCAAAATTACAATAGAAGCATTAATGAGTTACTGCATATCGTTATTGACATTTAAAAGTACGCTCCGGTGAGACTTAACTTAAGATCGGATGGTAAATTAACTGCGTTTCACTTGTGTCATCTTGCCACGACTGAAAAGGACCACAGCCCGTATGGTCGAAACGTCAATAAATATAGTTTAACAAATCTAATAGACAGCCAGTGTAGTCAGTTTAATATCTACTACCTTAAATATTATATTATTTATAAAAATGATAAAAATTATAAAATACGGTTTTTATCTGATAAATAATGATCGTTCCCTCAGGGGCACTGCGGACTCATCCCTGCAGTGTACGGGTGTCGCAATCCCGAGGTACCCGAGCTGGAGTGCGTGCGAAGGATGAATGAGAGTGATGGGTGTGCAGACCCTAATAAGGACTTGTCCACTGCACTAGGTGAAGGAAAACACCGAAGATAACACCTGGGGGGGAGGCCCCGTTAGCTGAGTAAGGCAACCTCCTAAGGGGAAGGAAAACCCCCGACAGAAAAAACCAATTTCTTTTTCAGAAAACATGGAGAGGTCCGAAAAAAAGAGATCGTCCTAGGATCGGATACTGGGAACCGGCGTGGGGGGGGGGGGGTGCAGGCCTGGCTCCCTCCATGTCGTCATCGTACGACAGGTCGTCTGCAGCTTTGCCGGCTGGGGCTGCAGACAGGACAGCTACAGTGCCGAGTAGTGAGAAAGCCATGGTGCGTGAGCGGTTACGAAGCCTAGCTCGTGACTGGGACACTCGTGACCGTGGTGTCGATTCAAGAGAACTTGCTGCGTCTATCCGCCGAGTTCTCTTGAAAAGGGAAGTGCGGAGGTATCTTGTATTAAGCGAATACAAGGTACTTACGTGGTACGTGGACGATTTCTTCCGAAAATGTTCGCGGGGAGAGACGGACTTTTGTGCCGGACATGTGTGTCCAGTTTTTTGAGCCGGTGGTGCCCATTAGCTCATCAGACTCACTATCCGGGGAGGTGAATGAGGTGGACAGTGTCTGTTCACAACCTCTTCAATCTCCGGAAGTGGTGCGTGGGGTCAGTGGAGACGAGGACCGGCAGGCTGCGGGACCCTCTGCCCTCTCTATCTCATCCCCTTCCTCTGCTGAGGATGTGATGGATGTGGAGTGGACTCCACATGACAAGAGGCTTCTGACTGGGAGAAAAACAGTACCCAGCCAAAAAATCAGGTAAGTCCAAAGCGCGCACTGAAACGCGGGGTCGCCCCAAAACATCTGGGGATTATGTTGGTTTGGCTGAGGCCAAGGAGCGTTTAAACCGCGCAGTTGAGCGGGAGCTTCAACTGGCGGATATCCACAGGCTTTTGGACCCGGGTCTGGATCCTGAGCTGTCGGCGGTGGGCAGAGAGAACATCATGCCTGGTGAAGCCTTCCGAGTGAGGCTCCAGAGTGTTACCAATCTGGAGCTCAAAAGGTTGGCAGAGTTGTCGGCTTCTCAAGTGGAGAGGGCGTCTGAGATCACTGGTCTCGATTCGATCGTGGCTAGAGATCTCTGGATCTCCT